AAGCGATATTTCAGGTTAAAAACAGGGATTTCTATGAAAATAAGCGATATTTAAGGGGAAAACACAGGGATTTCTATGAAAATAAGTGATATTTCAGGGGAAAAACAGGGATTTCTATGAAAATAAGCGATATTTAAGGGTTAAAAACAGGGATTTCTATGAAAATAAGCGATATTTAAGGGGAAAAAACAGGGATTTCTATGAAAATAAGTGATATTTCAGGGGAAAAACAGGGATTTCTAGGAAAATAAGCGATATTTAAGGGTTAAAAACAGGGATTTCTATGAAAATAAGCGATATTTAGCGGTTAAAAACAGGGATTTCTAGGATAATAAGCGATATTTCAGGTTAAAAACAGGGATTTCTATGAAAATAAGCGATATTTCAGGGGAAAAACAGGGATTTCTATGAAAATAAGCGATATTTCAGGTGAAAAACAGGGATTTCTATGAAAATAAGCGATATTAAAGGGGAAAAACAGGGATTTCTATGAAAATAAGTGATATTTCAGGTTAAAAACAGGGATTTCTATGAAAATAAGTGATATTTCAGGTTAAAAACAGGGATTTCTATGAAAATAAGCGATATTTAAGGGGAAAAACAGGGATTTCTATGAAAATAAGCGATATTTAAGGGGAAAAACAGGGATTTCTATGAAAATAAGTGTTATTTCAGGAAAAACATAGATTTCTATGAAAATAAGCGATATTTCAGGGGAAAAACAGGGATTTCTATGAAAATAAGTGATATTTATGGGGAAAAACAGGGATTTCTAGGAAAATAAGTGATATTTAGTGGTTAAAAACAGGGATTTCTAGGAAAATAAGCGATATTTCAGGTGAAAAACAGGGATTTCTATGAAAATAAGCGATATTGAAGGTGAAAAACAGGGATTTCTATGAAAATAAGTGATATTTTAGGGGAAAAACATGGATTTCTAGGAAAATAAGCGATATTTCAGGTGAGAAACAGGGATTTCTATGAAAATCAGCGATATTTCAGGGGAAAAACAGGGATTTCTATGAAAATCAGCGATATTTAAGGTTCAAAGCAGGGATTTCTATGAAAATAAGCGATATTTAAGGGTAGGTTGAGGGTTAGGGTTAGGGTTAGGATTAGGGTTATGGTTAGGGTTAGGGTAGGGTTAGGGTTAGGGTTAGGGTTAGGTTTTGGGTTAGGGTTAGGTTTAGGGTTCGGCTTAGCGTTAGGGTTAGGGTTAGGGTTAGGGTTAAGGTTAGGGTTAGGGTTAGGGTTAGTGTTAGTGTTAGGGTTAGGGTTAGGGTTAGGGTTAGGGTTAGGGTTAGGGTTAGGGTTAGGGTTAGGGTTAGGGTTAGGGTAGGGTTAGGGTTAGGGTTAGGGTTAAGGTTAGGGTTAGGGTTAGGGTTAGGATTAGGGTTAGGGTTAGGGTTAGGGTTAGGGTTAGGGTCGGGGTTAGGGTTAGGGTAGGGTTAGGGTTAGGGTTAGGGTAGGGTTAGGGTTAGGGTTAGGGTTAGGGTTAGGGTTAGGGTTAGGGTAGGGTTAGGGTTAGCGTTAGGGTTAGGGTAGGGTTAGGGTTAGGGTTACGGTTAGGATTAGGTTTAGGGTTAGGGTTAGGGTTAGGATTAGGGTTAGGGTTAGGGTTAGGGTTAGGATTAGGGTTAGGATTACGGTTAGGGTTAGAGTTAGGGTAGGGTTAGGGTTAGGGTAGGGTTAGGGTTATGGTTAGGGTTAGTGTTAGGAAAGGGTTAGGGTTAGGATTAGGGTTAGGGTAGGGTTAGGGTTAGGGTTAGGGTTATGGTTGGGGTTTGGGTTAGGGTTAGGGTTAGGGTAGGGTTAGGGTTAGGGTTTTGGGGTAAGAGAAAACCCCTATTTTTAGTTGAAAATCTGAGATTTTTGGATGAAAACCCCTTTTTTTGGAATTTTGGCGCCGTTTATTTGGATATGCTGCTTTTTATTTATCTTTTGGAGTCATTTTGTGTGATTTTGGGGTCATCTATTTGGTTTTTGGTTTCATTTTTGGAGATTTAGTTGTTCTTTTTTGGGAGTTTGGGTTCATTTTTTGAGATTTTGGGGAGTTTGATTGGGATTTTGGGATTATTTTTGGAGATTTTGGAGTAGTTTTTTGGGATTTTGGGGCCATTTCTTGGGATTTTGTTGTTGTTTATTGGGATTTTGGGCCATTTATTGATATTTTGGGGCAGTTTTTGGGGATTTTGGTACTGTTTCTTGAGATTTTGGGGCCGTTTTTTGGGATTTTGGGTCCCTTTTGGTGATTTTGGGCCATTTATTGGGATTTTGGGTCCCTACCTCAGCATGTCTTTGCTGTTTATTGGGTTTTGGGGCCATTTATTGATATTTTGTGTCAATTTTGGGGGATTTCAGCGCAGTTTCTTGAGATTTTGGGGCTGTTTATTAGGATTTTGGGCCATTTTGGGAGATACTGTGGTCATTGAATGGGAAAAACAGGGATTTGTATGAGAAGTCCTCAGATTGAAGGGGAAAAACCCCAGATTTAGTACAA